TATAAAAACCCTCAACTAAAATCAATAAACTGACAGCTTGATCAGACATCCTGTCTTGCTGTCCATTCTTCGTGTCTCTTGTCCCCCAATCTCTCCTAGGTGGTTGCGACCCCCGTTGACTGTCCTGCTGGACAGGACACAGTAGGACTTTTACATTTGTGTTTTTAACTTGTCAAAATACGTGCTGTCACTTGAATATTATTTTGATTGATCCTCAAGGACTGATGTGTTAAATGCTTGGTCCCCAGGTGATGCTATTGGGAGGTGGTAGATCTTGGAGCAGGTTGGAGTGGAGTCCTTAGGCGACTGGATGTCTTTGCTCTCATGCGGCTTGTCGAGTTCTGTGCAAGGGTTGCTAGGAAAGCTGCAGTTTGGGTCTCCACACTCTTCTCTGCTTCTGGGCTTGCCATGTGTTCCTCCTTCCACATTTTTTCCACCACTGCCATCCACTGCCTTCACAGAAGCCAAGTCAATGTAGATGCCCAATCTTGAAGTTGAACCTCTCAAACTGTAAGGCTGCATAAACTTTTTGTCTAGAAAGCTAGTTGCCTCAAGAGTTTTGTTATCATAACAAAACATTGGCTAAATAAAATGGGGTTATTAAATTGTGAAAAAACCCACTAATTCCATCACTAGAACTGCAGATTGCATTTTTTTTTTTGCATTATAAACAATATATGCCACATTTATTTCTTCCTATAAGGGGATTATATAGGAAACACGTTATATTCTTTTAAAAAATATTGCAATAAAAGTTTATCCTTGGGCCCGGTGCGGTGGCACAAGTGGTTAAAGGTCCTCGCCTTGCACGCCCGGGATCCCATATGGGCGCCGGTTCTAATCCCGCCAGCCCCGCTTCCTTTCCAGCTCCCTGCCTGTGGCCTGGGAAAGCAGTCGAGGACGGCCCAAAGCTTTGGGAACCTGCACCCGCGTGGGAGACCCGGAACAGGCTCCTGGCTTCGGATCGGCATAGTATCGGCCCGTTGCGCTCACTTGGGGAGTGAATCATCGGCCGGAAGATCTTCCTCTCTGGCTCTCCTCTCTGTATATCCGCCTTTCCAATGAAAAAATAATAAAAATAAATCTTTAAAAAAAATAAAAAGTTTATCCTTATGTGATTAAACAGTCTTTAGAAATTGATTTTAAACATACTGTAATTTTAAAACAAAATATTGACGTACCTTCTTATTTGGAAGAGATACTGAGATGTTGTTGGTTCATTCCCTAAATTCCAGCAATCACCAAGTCTAGTGCTTGACCCTCTCCCTCTTAGGGCGTGCTTTAGCAGGGAGTTGAACTTGAACTCACATGGGGCACTCCGATATGGGATGCAGCCTCCCCAGTGCCACCTTACCACCCAGGCTGAGCTGTGAGCGACCCCTCTCGGTCAGGTCCGACCGCTCCTGAACAGGGTGGCATGGCTTCCTCTTGGTGGCTTCCCCTGCCTCTTCTCTCCTCAATGCTCTGTTCGTGCGCAAACTCTAAGTACCACAGACAAGATCCAACCTTCCGATAAACCCGCAAATCACTGTAACGCCCTGTCTTGTCCCTCCTCAAGGGTTTCAAACTTGCTGGCCTTTCTGGAAAGCTCTCTTACTTCACTTAACTCCCACCTTATGTTTCAACCGTTAGCTTGCTCCTCCCTCGGGGCCTTGTCGGATGCCCCTGGCCGGGGTGGGGGACCCTCTCACATGTCCCACAACACCCTCTTTCCTTTTGCAAGCACTTACTGTAGTATCAGACTTACCCTATTCTCTTGCCTGAAGAAGGATTTGAGAACTCTATGGGGCAGGATCCATGATCTGTCTAATTTGTTCACAAAATTGAATATCTAGCACCCAGGATATCACGCAGTAAATATCTTGTACTTCTTTATTAGCTTACTTTTTATGTTATTTATTTCTCTCACAAGAAAGCAAGCTCCGTGAGAGGGGGGGAGGGGATTCTTTCTTTTCTTGCGGCTGTATCTAACCTCATTGCCTAGAATTCTGTTAACACCTTAAAGTTTACCCTTCCCCTTTTTTTCCGTTTGTGTCTGTAGAGACAGAAGGAGATTTCATAAATATGATGCTACATTCTCATTATCTTTAAACTCCATTTTTCGGAACTATTGAAGAGCATTGCCCTTCACAGAAATGAAATGACTGAACCCTTCTTGGCTAACCTGCTTCCTCTTCACTCCACTAAATATTGTGAGTATTACTTCTGTAAATATTTGCTCAATCCGCCTTACATTCTTGGACCTTTTAATTATCAACTGTTGTGAAGCATTTGCTGTGCCCCATTCAGAAAAGACGCAGAGTCTGAGCAGAAGGGAACATTTGGGGCACGTACGCGGGTGTGTCAGGAGGTGGCGCAAGAGAGCTCTTTCCCCGCTTGCAGCCGGAACTCTGAAACGTTCAGGTTCAGGTATGGTCTAGAAACAGCTTTAGGCTTGCTGCCTCTGCTTCGTGGTTTTTTATTTCTTTGTGTCCGCTCCAGCCTCTCCGTCCAGGGAACCGGATCCTTCCTGACGTACCCCACCCTCACCTTCAGTGACTCAGCCCCAAGCCAAAACCTCAGAAAGCACCGATTCATGTTTGCTGGTCTTCGCCCAGCCACCTGGAGCAACAGCCCCAAATACCTCATCGCTTATTTATAAAATGCCACTTACTTCATTTAACCCACAAGCATTTGATACGTTTATTTTCGTGGACCATCATTTAACCAAAGCTTTGCGTCTATTGTCATTTGTATCTTCGGAGAAATTGTTAGGGCCCAGCATGATTGTGTAGTAGGTTAGTGTACTGTTTGCATACGTATCAGTGTGCCAGTGTGAGTCTTCTGCTGTACCTCGGAGGCAGCAAGTGACGGCCCAAGGACCCCGGCCCTGCCACCCAGGAGAGGGACCTCACTGGAGCTCCTGGCTCCTGGCGTCAGCCTGGCCCAGCTCCTGCTGTTGTGAGCAGTTGGAAAATGAGCAAGCAGAAAGAACAGCTCCCTCTGTGTGTCACTTTGCCTTTTAAATAAATAGATCTTTCTTAAACCTTTATATCATACTGATTTGAGAGGCAAAAAGAAAAAAAAGTGCTGGCTCCTAGACTATGGCTAGCAGGACGCTAGAACAGGAAGTGTGTCAGGACTAAACCCAAGCACATTGACATGAGGAGCTGAGACCCCAAGCGACAGCTTAAGTGCTGCACCAAGCACCTGCCCTTCCATTTTCCAGTATATTTTTAAAAGAATGTTCTAGAAAAATAAGTTCTAGTTAATGATTCTAGGTATTTTCATGCATTTTAAAATTAATTGATGCAACCAATTGTTTGAAAGGTAGAGAGGCACACAGAGACAGATATATAGGCAGAAAGGAGATCTTCTAACAGCTAGTTCACTTCCCAGATAACCGCAGCAGCTGGAACTGGGCCAGGCCAAAGCCTGACAGCCAGAGCTCAGCCCAGGCATCCCCTGTGTCAGCAGCCCAGCTATGTGTGCCGGCACCCGCTGCTTGCCAGGGTGCATGCCAGCAGAAAGCCCAACCTGAAGTAGACCTGAGGTTTGAACCCACGTCCTCTGATATGGCGTGCAAGCATCCCACGCAGGATCTTCACCACTGGATCAAACACCAGTCTCCAAAACATACATACGTAAGTCTGACAATACTTCCTGCCAAATGACCTTCCATAAAGGTTATTCCAAGTTACATTAATGCCAAAGATATCCAAAAAGGCCTCCCGGGGAGGACTTGTTTGTTTTGTTTTGTTTGGATAGGCAATTTGTCATAGCTCCTTGTTACATGAAGGCATATTTCTGAATGTATATTTTAGGCAATAGGGAAAAAGTGATCATTTTATTGTTACATTAATTTGCATCTCTCTAAAGAATAGGTATTAAAATAGTAATTTCAGAGTGGATACTTTTTAGTGAAACAATAGAATTTTAGAATTTTTGTCTATTAATTCTAAGGACATTTGAAAACTAAGAAGACTTCAGGCCTTGTAGTCATTGCCAGAACTGTACAGACTTGTGAAGTTAAGGAATGATGCTCACCTCAGGGACCCTGCTGTTTTATACATTTAAGGAAAAAAATTAAGGGCAGTAATTAAAAATGTGCCCAATCTAAGTCATGAAGCTGAAGAACATAAAATGATTTTGTAGGTACCAAATCATTTACTATTGCAATTTAAGAAATAATTTGTAGCATATACTTTGCATGAAGTTACCCAACAAAGTTCCACAGAACCAGAAAGGTTAAGACTTTCAGAGAATTTATATACGAGTGAATGATTATTATCAAAATATTCAGTCAAAACATTTATCTTTAAAATATATAGGATCATAGCTGTGTGAGGGAGAAAGAAAGAAAATTACCCATGATCGTTTGGGCCACACTGAAATCACATTGAGCCAGTCTTTTTACCAAGAGCCCAGCAGTCGCCATGATGAAGGCAGGGAGGGGTTCGTGGTGAAGGTTGGGGCTCCCTGGTCCTGCTCAGCTGATGACATTATGTGCTGCTTCTCTGATTGCAAAATCCAGAACAGCACATCAGGTGTTTGTTTCATCTGGACCAGAGAAGGCAGCCCAAGTGGAGAAGCATTTGTCAAACTCAAATCTGAACACGCAGTGAAATTGGTTACAATGTTTTCTTGATGAACAGTTGTGAGACTTAAATATGACAACCTACATGAAAACAGTTTGTTAACTACTTAATTAAAAATGACACTCTATTTTTATTATTCCTCTATTTCAGAAAAATCAAGACAGCCTTGGGGCTGAGTGAACCGGGAGAAGCAGCGGGGGGTCCATTGAGAAGATCCCCATGAAGGATGATGACGGATGCTGACACGTAGGCAGTGCAGTGAGGATGGAGAACAAGGACATATGCCTATATAAGGGATAATTAGGACATTTTCCAAAAAGGACCAAATGATTGATTGAATATGGGGAAGGAACTAAAAGGGGGTCAAATGACTCAGAGTTTACTGTTGAGTCATCAAGTGCATGGTGACATCATTAAGGGAGAAGAGTAGGCAGGATAATGGGTTCTGTTTCGGGAATATTCTGTGGAGGTGTCAACCTATGAGAAATCCAGGAAGCCGAGAAGAAGGAGTATGCGTGGGACTGAGTGGGGAGCTTAGGCAAGAGGTCTGCTGTAGATCTCAGCACGTACATCACTGGCTGTCCGTGAGACAAAACTTGTGAGCGTGGATGCCAGGTAAAGCAGAAAGCAATGGCTTATAATCTATTTAAAGCCAAGAAAGCTTCCCCGCCCTGACACAGTAACACATACTAATGTCAAAATGTACTTTGTAAAATAGATCAAAATGAAACTTTTTCTGATTAGATCCAGAGTGGCTCTCCTGGGAACTGTTTTTGAGACAGCCCCAAACTGGTTTCATCGAGTCCTACTTGAGAACAAACAACATGGAGCAAGAAGGGAAACAGGGGCGGGTTAACATACTGTCACACAAGATCATATGGAATTTTAAATTTTGGATTTATACAGGCTCTTTTTGGACTCACTGCCCCAATCACATACAATGCTAATCCTTTTTCTGGTCTACTTTTTCAGATGCCTGACACTGAGTGACTGTGTCCGTGTGTGCCCGTCAGAAGTCACGGGGCCATTCAAATAGAGTTGGCAGAGTGTTGAGGCTGTTGTCTGTCTTCAAGCTCATGTTCATTGGTTTTCCTCCCTATCAGAAGAGACTTTTCACATACACATCTGCTGGGTCATTAGTGCTGAGATAACCACATTTGTCACAATTACCAGAAGACGTGTATGCATTCCCTAAATTAGATTAATATTGCCCATCCACTCAAACAATTGTTAAATAAAAATCGCTATTGCTAAATATTTAACTTGTAAGCTCTTCAATGAGTTGAATTGGTTCATCTTTATCTCCTAATGAGTCTGATTATTTCAACATTGTCAACATTGTTTGGGATTTAATCCCAAATCCACTAAGGGAAATTCGATTTGGCTATTTAATCAGAAAGACACAATCAAATGGCAAGTAAAGACAATAAAAGCAAGAAAGAGGCAAGTAGAAGAAGGCCAAAAGAGAAAAGAAAATACATTCAGTACCAAAATAAAAACACTTAAATCTCTATTAACACAATAAACACTGATTTCTTATTTACTCGAAGTTCAGTGTAAGGGATGCTTGTGATTGGCATGTGATGGTTCATTTTAGGAATTAGGCACTTTGTGAAGGTCTCTGCGTCCTGGTCTGGATCTTCTGCCAGCCAGCATGCACACTGGGGATGACACAACGTTCTATAGGCCTGGAAGAAGGTGAGTGTACCATTTCTGGCCAGAATGAGTCACAGGCCATACTAGTCTGTAAGGGAGTTACAGAATATAGTTTGCATGCACCAGTAAAGGCAAAAGTAAATGAACTGAGCCAGTCTCTATTATAGATGAAATAAAAGTATCTAAGCAAGGTTTATTTTTTAAATTTGGAAAAATGAGTCATTTATATACAAGAATGTCGACCTGATTTTACATATGTTTGTGTGTGCGTATATACAAAATACGTGTTTGGTGTAGCTTCAGTAGTATTATATAAACTTTTCCTCTACAAACTTCTCATCAAAAACTTCTTCACATTCTTACCCAAAGGTCTTTTAAAAAAGCTAGACACATACCCACTGAGTCATAGAATAATTGGAATTCTGACAGGAAGGTAACTGTAAAGCAGTTCTTTAAAAAGGAACACCACTCTGCTTTATTTAAACTCCACAAAGTAGGTAAGCACTTTATGGGTCATGGAGTCTTTAATATAAGGTGTTATGCAATATGTGGCTCGGCTTTGAGTGGCTTTTCCCTTTGTTCTCTCACATACCACATACATGCCATTTGGTGACATCCCGAGGTCGAGGAGGCTATTGGATGAAACCTTCAGAAAAGGAAAGGTTATTCTATACCACGTATAAGAAAAAGCTTTGATGATTCACACAAGTCAAGCTTTTTAGTTCCTGGCAGGGGAGATTTGCTAGCCAAAAGATTGAAAGGAAACTGGTTATATTATAACTTGTGCCCTGATAGAACCACTAATGGCAGCTGGCTTTTATAGGAAGGACAGAGTGTTAGGGGAATGTTCATTAGAGAACTGTTAAGCAGCACAAAACAGACAGCAACAATTTTAGCTTCTGAAAAGGAAATGGAATGAGTGAAAGTAAGTCTTTATTTTATAGGAAGTACAAGGATTGTTCCAGGAAACATTTTCTCCCTTTGGGCTGATATTTGGGAGACATCTATCAGTCTTCTGCACCTCATAGTTTGTCGTTTGTCACTGACTCATGTCATTGAGGTATGTATAATAAGAAAGCTTTGATCTCTGAAAGTCAAAGTTTTTCTTAGAAAACATGCCTAATGTATTTAAAAAAATATGTATTCATTTGAAAACAGTGTTAGAGGGTGTCTCTCTCCTTCCTCTTTCAAGAAACATCCCACCTCCCCATTTTCTTTCTGGAGGTGCTTTCTCTTCCCTCTCCCTTCCCTACTCACCTGGACCCTTCACAAATAAACTTTTCTGAAACACACACACACACACACACACACACACACACACACACACAAAGCAGTGTTAGATAGAGTGCTCTTCCATCCTTTGAGTAAATCCCTACATGACATCAATGGCCGAGGAAGGCCAAAGCCAGGAGCCTGGAACTCCATCCTATTCTCCTACATGGACGACAAGGATCCAAGCCCTTGGGCCATCTTCCGCTGTTTTCCCATACACATTGACAGGAAGCTAGATTGGAATCAAAACCTCTGGAACTAACACTCTGACATGGGACACGGACATGCAGGTCAAGGATTAACATGTTGTACCACAATGGCAGTCTTTTAAGTTTTTATTATTTTTATTTACTTGAAAAGCAAAAGACACAGAGAGAAAGAACTTCCACTCAATGGCTCACTTCCCAGGTGCCCACAACAGCCAGTGATGCATCAAGCCAAGAGCCTGAAACTCAGTTTGAGTCTTCAATATGGGTAGACAGTAGGGACCCAAGCATTGAGCCATCATCTGTTGCCTCCCAGGGTAGTCAATATCAGGAAGCTGGACTTGGAAGTGAAGCCTGAACTGAAACTCGGGTGCTCTGATATGAAATACAGGTACCCCAAATGGTGCTGAAAGCTACGCTAAATATTTCTCTCAGAACTGGATTTGATTTAGCTGAGTCACAATAGGGGCTTTCAGTCCTTCTCCTCTTTCTTTCTTTTTTTTTTTTTTTCCTGGAGAAAGCACTTAATTTGTATGTATTAGATGCTAACTGTCAGAATTAATCACTTAATTAGAAAGAAATTTAAGGCCAAAACAAGAAATTCTTAGTGGATTTTCCCAATTTTTTGAGTATATTAAATGAAAGTTGCTTTTTTTCTTTCTCATATGTACAGATTTTCTTATTCCAGAGTTCACCCTGAACGCGCTTTTGCCTTCACCATCCTTATTAGATGCTCACTGCAGACACCAGGGAGACCTGAGCCTCTAATTAGGTATGCAGCATGACATTTAATAGAGGATGAGCTGTGGGACACTTTGGCAGTGAAGGTAATTATAGATGCTATGTGGTTGCAGAATTTTTAAATTAATAATAGATTAATTCTTCCAGATTTTATTATTTGACTCATATATAGTGTTAATAAAGTCACTCATTTTTAGTTTTTTTTTTCAGTTTTTGTCAAGGAGAATTCATCACCTTAATGATATTATATACTCATATCACTTGCTATTTATTTTTTTACTGACGAAAAAGTGAGCATTTAGAATTAGTTAACCACAATCAGTTGAGATGATCCCCATTTTGTCGACAACATCCAATGCACCAGAAGCCAGTTGAGCATATGGCTTCTTGCCATCAGGCCTCAGAGACCATCAATTTTGACCATAAATTTTCAAAGTATTCTTCAGGCCAAGAGTCTTCAACAGCCAATTTTAACCACCTAGAACTTGGTAATGTTCTATTTTTCTTAATTTTCCTCTGTATTGCAAGTGAAATATTTTTCAGTTGTCAAATGAAATAAAGTTTTCCTTTAAGAAGGTAAAAGGTTTAATGCTAAAACTACAATCAAAGGGAAATGTAGAATGAAACAAGCAAGTGGTTTGTAGAATTTGACAATGAAGCCATCTGATGCAAGGCTTTTTTGATGGAAGTGTTTTTACTGTTGTTACAACCCCCTCATTGGTCATTGATCCATTCACAGTTTTCATTTTCTCATGATCCAGTCGTTGTAAGTTTCCTATGTTCGTTAATTTGTCCATTTCTTCCACCACATTTTTGCACTAATTAGTTATCCATGATAATCTCTTATGACCCTTTGTATTTCTGTGTTGTCAAATGCAATGTCTCCTCTTTTGTTTCTGATTTTATTTACTTGGGTCTTCTTTACTTTTTCTCATTCTGGCTAAGAATGTGCCTTTTTCGGCCAGGAGGAGGCTTGTATCTCAACCCTGAAGACTCCCAGATCCTCACCAAGAACTATCAGTATGAGCACCGAGGATTGCATCCCAACTGCCAAGGAGACCACGGGGAATTGGAGTGCCTTCAGAGGCCGAGAACTCTGAGGTCACCCACCCCCATTTGGATCCACCACATGGGATGGAAGAAGCCCAAATCCTGCCTTGCAGGATCCAAGGTCATCAGAACGACAACCAGGAGCACTGAGCAGTCCGCAGAAACAGAAGAACTATAAACTTCCTTTGGGACTAGGGAGAGAAGCTTTCTCTGGTCCTTGCTTGGTTCTGACTTTGGGTCCCCACCCTCTCTCCTAATGACCATCAGGATCGCTCCAGAAACCCCTTAATGCAAACAAACAAACAAAACTAGAATAGATAGAGAACAACAAGGAAAGCTTAGAAACAGACAGGAAATGGTCAGTGGGGATGCACTTATAACTCACTGGGTGGGACACGAAGATTAGTTACTCCTCACTAGGGTATTTAAGATTTCTCTGCACACCCCTCCTAAAACCGTTCACCTAAACTGTTGACATATGTCTTGTTAGAGTTATAGAGTTAGATTACCCAAAAAATAGCCAGTTCAGCAAAATTATGCTTCAACATGGCTGTTGCGGTCATCTGGGGAGTGATTCATCAGACAGATCTTCCTCTCTGTCTCTTCTCCTCTCTGTATATCTGACTTTGCAATCAAAATCAAATAAATCATTTTTAAAAAGTTTCTAGCTCCTGGCTTCATTCTGGCCTGAACCTGGCAATTGCAGCCATTTGGGAAGTGAACCAGTGGATTTTCCCTCCCTCCCTCCTTCCCTCTTGTGGTATTGTGCCTGTCCAAAAATAAATCAACTTCTTAAAATAATCAAAATAATTTTTTTTGTAAAAGAAAAGCTAATCAGTCACTAATCAGAAAAATGTAAATTTAAATAAAAATATTATGAGATGTTCCTTTGCACCTGTTACAATGTTTTGGCAAAGATATGGAAAGTCAGGGACACTGGCACGCTATTAACAGGAATGCAAATTAGTGCAGTCATTATGGAAAGTCGTACGTAGGGTCCTAGGTCTCCCATATGATACAGCAGTCATACTACTGATTATGTATGCAAAAGAGATTAAATAGATGTAATGAATCAATGTCAGCCCACAGATAGCAGCTCTGCTCACAATGGCCAACATACAGAATCAACCTAGGTGTGCATGCGTGAATGAATGGGCAAGAAAACATGACGTATGCGCACAATGGAATACTGTTTTGACTTTCAGAAAAAGGAGATCCTGATGCTTGCAGTAATATAAAAGAACTAAGAGGCCGCTGTATTAAGTGAAATAAGTCAGGCACAGAAAGACATGCTACATGTTTTCACATATCTAATCTAAAAAAAGTTGAACTCACAGAAGTTGGCCAGAATGGGCATGGGGTGCAGATGAGGCACAGAGATGCTGCCCACAGGAGGAGCTCTGGAAGGAATCAGTAGTGACCATAGTTCATAACTTTACATCATATTCCCCAAGAAACTGATGAGTAGATATTACATGTTTTCATAACAAAAAGGTAAAAAATGTGAAGTAGTGTTTAAAACATGCATGTTAATGTGTATGAACTCAATTTAGACATTGCATTGTACACATACATTTCAAAATTGCATGTTGTACATGATAAACATATACTCAAAAAAAGAGTAAGTGCTTTGTGAATGAATAGATTGAGAAATGAAAGTGTAAGGAAAAGAACACTGAGCAAACACTGAGGTTTCTCTATTATTTTGCATCAACCAGCTGGATAACATACAGTGGGTTTCTTAACCTCTTTGGAACTCAATTTCCTTATCTGTAAAAGGAAAAGGTTGCAACATGTTCATGTATCTGAACTTGGGTTGAGCTTTTAAGACTCCCAGTGTTTGGCCCACATCTCAGACCAACTGTATTAAACCCCTGTGAGTGGGATTCAGACACCAGTAATTTCCATTGCACCTGGATGATTGTAATGTGCATCTAAAGTGGACCACAACTGTACCAAGTGACTTGTAAGACCTTTATTACTCCTAAATTTCTATGACTGTAGGATTAAAAAGTAGATAATATAAACAAGTATATTGATATAATGAAGAAATATATTTTGGCATTCTGTGTACCTAATTGAATCAATTACAGTATTGCTTTCATTCAGGGATTTACATGTTCAGATGTGTATTACATATTAAAATTTGATACAGGAACAACACTGGGGCGTTTGGTGATTAACAACACAAATGTGAGCTTTTTCTTATAGAACTAACGATTTAATGGAAGAAGAGCTGACGAGCACATGTAGGTGTTTCTGTTAGTCTGGTAGGAGAAGACGGAAACACATGAGCACATGTGGGGCAACATACGTAAAGCTGAAATCTTATTGCTCAAATTCTATACATGAAAATGTAAACATTCCTCCACAGGCTTGGGATTCTACGGTCTCATGACCATGGAACACGGAGCAACGATGTGAAAATGTCAGCTATGAGTTTGCTGTCTGTAACTTCAGAGGTCAAGTTGGCTTTGAGCATTTGTGTGGCCTCAGAACAGAAGCAAGAATAGAATATTCTTCCACCCCCTAACCTTTCAACCGAAAAGGTACTTTTGGACACATTGTGTTGCTCACAGAGCATCCAAAAGCTTTCATTTACAACCTGCTTGAATTCAGAAAGCAAAAAGATAGAACCCTAGTCAAGAATTCAACTAATGATGCATGTCATTCCATTCATATAATAAATGGGACAATCAACACTGCTTTGCATAGAGATAATCAACATGTTTCAAAATCAAAAGAAAATCTTTACTCCTGGAATAACTCTTACATTAGGTCATTTTTGCTGAAATAAGATTTATTCTAAAATGCCATAGAGGATAAAAAATAATTGACCATTACTAAACCAATTAAATTCCATTTAAAATTTTAAAATGACAGGTCACATTTATAGTACAGGGGGAGTCATTTTTACCACATTAAAGAAATATAAGCTGTAGTGTTCTTGGGTAGTATCCTAGCAACCTGTAAGTATTCAGGAAACTTCCAGTAGAAAATTCTGCACTTGCATCTAAGCATGAGGCTCAGGTTTCTTGCCTTAGCTTTGTGTCATATTAACTGACAAACGGAATACATGTAGGCAAAATCTCAGTTGCTGGCAGTGGAAAATGCAGTTCTCTGCAGCATTGCCTTCCATTCTTCAGCTGCGAGCAAGGATTGCTTGGCATTTTGCCCAGTACAGTAATGTCCACAGGCTCACTGTGTAAGCAAGAGACACCAGGGTCCTACGGTGTCTGGATGGCTGTGGCTTCCTCTTTAGGGAAGCAAGGGTCCTGTTTTCCCTGCCACTGGCTTCAGACAATGAGAGGTTCGTGTACGAAGCGTGCTGTTGTCAGTGCATTCAACCCAAATCCAATTTGCTGTCTTGTCTATGCTTCTCTGAATTCTTTCCCAAACTCTCTGATATCAATTCTGTCTCACTCCATGTATGGAAATAAAATGATTATTGGTGGGCTTTGGTCACGGACAACCTACTCAGGTAACGTGGTACAGCAATAGCATTCTCAATAAAGAAGTACTGGAGAGAGTTATGGTGAACTGGTCCATTTTATAAATAACCAAGCACAACCTTATATAGGAAGGGCTCAGGGGAACAAGCATCAGGGTAGAAACAATAATTTTATTGTATATACACATTTATTACGTATTATAAGCCTAGCCAATCAGTGCAGCTGTCACATACTTTGCCAGGTGGCACTATGTAGCCCACCACAACTTATGTAAATCACTCTCACCCTAGAGTTGTTTATTACAAGACTATCATAAGTTTACCAGGAGATGGGTATGTGCAGGGGTAAGCAGGGGGAGGAGGCAACCAAGCTACTGCAAAGTCCACAAATTACCAGTAGAGTTTGAAGGGGAGGGAAATACCTGGAGAGCCTCGGGCTTCTTGCCAACTGCATGGGTCCACAGGGGTCTCAATGTGCTGTTGAAACAAGAGAAGGGTCTCAAGTCTTTCACCAAAACCAAAGATAGGTCTCAAGTCTCTACACATGCTCCGAAACCTTGTTCCTGCTGCCTCCTGCACAGGGCTAATTAAGCCAAGACCCATCCTGGCACTCACCCACAATGATTAAATTGTTTTGTTTTGTTCAAATT